AGCAGCAACAACAACAACAACAACAACAACAACAACAACAACAACAACAACAACAACAACAATAACAGATCCTTAGAAACAGAACAAAAACTCAAACCAAAGCAAAACAAGACAGTTGACCCTATCTGTACGTCGTGCTTAACTTTCGTATCCATACGACGTGGGGAACTCTGTGCCACTGTGCTACCACTTTCCAAAGAGGAAGTTGACTTGTTAATCCGAGCCGAAAGCTTTGCATTATAGCAGTCTGTGAAAATGATTTTTTGAGAAATACCGAAAGTTTCAAAGAGATCTTCGTACTAGAAGTATTGTAAAATGGGAAGAATACAACCCCGGAGGTACAGAATTACCCCAGGGCGTATGGATAGGCTTAACAATAAACTGGTGATTTCCTTCCCAATTCAGTTGAGCACAGACTGGACGCAGCTGGAAGTGATCGACCCCATCAATGACAGCAGTGGCTCAAACAAACAAACTGAACCCCAAAAGATAACAAAGACCATAAAACAACCAGAAAACTGTACCAAAACAAAACAAAACAAAAACAGCAACAATAAAACGAACATCTGATTTCCTCCCCAGTCGAGCACAGACTGGACGCAGCTGGAAGTGATCGACCTCATCAATGACGGCGGTGGCTCAGACAAACAAATAAACCAAGGAAAAAAACACCCAAAAGATAATTTTTAAAACCTTTTAAAAAACGTAAAACCGCACCAAACAAAACAAAACAAAACGATTAACAACATAAATCTGATTGCCGCCCCAGTTGAGCGCAGACTGCACCCAGCTGGAAGTAATCGACCTCATCAATGACGGCAGTTGCTTAAACTAACAAATAAAAAAAACAACCCCACACAAACTGCAACAACCACCCCCCCAAAAAAAAAAAAAAAAAAAACTCCCAAAACAATAACCATAAAGACATCTTTTTAAAAAAAATAATCCAAACCCAAACAAATAAATAGCAACGAAAAATTGTTTAAAATAATTTATGTCTGATTTCCTCCCCAGTTGAGCACAGACTGGACGCAGCTGGAAGTGATCGACCTCATCAATGACGGCAGTGGCTTGGGCTTCGGCATCATCGGTGGCCGCAGTACCGGGGTGGTGGTCAAGACCATCTTGCCGGGGGGCATCGCCGACAAGGTCAGTGTGTGTGTGTGTGTGTGTGTGTGTGTGTGTGTGTGTGTGTGTGTGTATGTGTGTGTGTGTTGGGGGAGGGGGTGGTATATTAGTTTACGGTGGTTTGAGCTCCACACCAAAACGATCAATTTCTGTGGAGATTAATTAATGCCAACTTTGAATTCAGATGCTAGATATATGTGTTTCTGAAAGTGTACGCTTTCCTTTTACCCATAATCGGCTACAGCATCACAGAACCAATAAGCAAACGACACCAGGAAAGACGGCACGTGCGGGTTTTCCTTTTGAAGATTTTCAACTTGTAAGTGTTGGTTTTTTTGTGTAACGAGGAAAACGACGACATCGCAGTTTATACTTCACCCTTTCCCTTAGCCCAATGTATCGACATTGTCAAACAGATGGCGGACTGTCCTAGCTGCGACGTGTACAAAGAGGATTAAACACTACACCCAACAGGCACCCTGTAAATAGTGTCCCCGCCTCCACCCCCTCCCCCCTTTCCACCTCAACCCCGTGTGGCTAACATCAGTCACAGTGTGTCCCCACAAAAACGCCCATGTCGGATCTTTTCCCCGAGTTACGACCACCCTTTTCCTATTTCTGTGGTTATGACCCCTTATTAAATACAAGCTGGAGTCGTTAATTTTTGGCTACATTGTCTGAATTCGTGTTGGTCCAGTCTTGTCCCCTATTATTCTGTTATGTCTTTACTGTTTGGGTTCCTTTTAAAGAATGTTTCTTTACATTGTTTTGGATGAGATAGACAGTGGAACGGTTTGGTTTTGTCTATGTTATTTGTTTTTTTAAAATAACGAGCTTTTGGCCTATTTTGAGAATTGGGAATAAGTAATTTATGTTTTTCGCCTGTGTGTGTGGGTATGTGTGTACGTGAGTGTGTAGGTGTGTTTCTGTGTGCGTGTATATATA